GAGATGAAGAAGAGGAGGAGGAGGGGGGCGGGGAAGGGGATGGTAGGGAAGCAAGAGAAAAGGAAAGGAAGCCAACATTAAAATAGCCATGCTTTAAAAAGCAGAAGTTTAAAGCCATAAGGATCTTCTTGTCCTAGAAGCCTGCATCCTCATACAAAAAGGCCAGGAAAATTTCACAGTGCCTGGTTTGGTCCTTCCCGCTAAGCTAAGCTTGAGGAGACAGCCTTGTCTCTCTTGCCCCCCACTCTTTTCCTTGACATTCGTGTACCAGACACTGCTTACACAAAGACGAACAGGAGATGGGCTCTGCCCCTCAGAAACACAAAGTGTTGAAAAGAAGGCAGACATGTGAACCTGAGATGCAGGTGTGCACCACAGCGGTAAGAGCCCAACGACCATGACGACCTCTGCCAGAGGCATCAGGAAAGGCTTCAGGGAGGAGGTGATATTTGTGCTGGGTTTTGAGAAATAAATGGGAGTTTCACCACAATGTGAGTAGGAGAAAGGGAATTCCAGGCAGAGGGAACAGCCTGGGCAAAGGCTAGAGGTAGGAGACTGCTATGCTTTCGAAGAGTAAGTTCACTGCCTTTAGAGATAGGGACAAAGAGTGGGAAAAGATTTTCTGGCAGACACAACCATCAAGGATGTTTCCCTATGCAAGGGGGATGACCAGGGCTGTGTCCATCTCAATCTACCCTCTCTTACAAAATCTTGTGCTTCCTCCTGCTTGGAACTCACCGGACCACCCAGAGTCTAGCCTTTAGGCCTAGGTTTCTAGTCCGAGGGAGGTGCCCAGGTTCCAGCCGATTGGTAAAACTGACATGACTGACACTTGTGAGCATCATTGCCCTCCAGGTGCAAGTAATTTCCAGAACTTTCTGGGAGGATCATTTAAGAACCCACCCAGGAGAGGGGAGATACAGAGACCTTTCTTTCCCAGTGGGACAATGATGACTTTGTTCTCCTTTTTAAAAATAATCTTCGGATTTCTGTATAGGCCCCTGTGTCCTTACTCACAATGCCAAAATCCAAATAGCCCCGAAAAACAAAAGTGTTTTTTTCTTTCTCCTGGAACTCGTTTGGCGGCAAAGTGACCTGAACAGATGTGAGGCTATTTATAGTCTTTATTGATTCACTTGGTGTGAATATTCATATTCTGCTGCAGAAATACTGATGTGTTTGATTATGGGGTGCGGCCCCAGACCCCACCGGGCGTGTTATGTAATTGTGCGGCATACGCACCACGTTACCTTTCTAAAATAGAATGAGGAACAAGAGCCCAAATTCCACAACCAGTCTGGCCTCAGGGCTTTTAGATAAGGAAATGTGGGCCTGTCCTACTTTTATAAAGATGCCATTTCGAGCACAGGGGACCCTCAACAATGTGGGCTAACCCTACCTCATTTCCCTGGCATCTCATTCTCCCTGCTTCACTGTGACCGTTTTCAACCTCTTCCACCTGTCTGCATGTCCTGACCTCACCCCAAACAGATGATTTGGCCGCCTGCTTTCCAGGGTGAACAGGAACCGCTGAGACAGAAACTCGCTCACAGACCCAGAACGTCCAAACCGGTCTGTACCTGCCTGCCACATCCCGTCCTCTTGTCCTGGTCCCTCCGTGAGCAGCTCCAGGGTCTCCGAGGGGAGACAGCTCCCCGCCCCTCTAGATCCCCTGCCCTCCACCTTTACCTATCTTCAAGTCACTGCATTAAAGACAAAAACGAGACAACAGATAAAAAATCAACTCACTGATTTCATAGCCTCTGCCTGAACCTGCTGTCTTTCTCCTCCTGTCCAAGACGAGCTTTCTAAGGAGTTGATTATCCACCTTACCTTCATTTCTTCCCCTCTGCCTCTCAGCTCTCCCGACTCCTACCTGACTTTGGCCCCATCAGCTCCGACCCAGCCCACCAAGGACAGGCTCACCCTGGTATATTTCTCTGGGTAGCATGGGCCCCTCCCTGTCCCAGCCCTGCTTTCTTCCTGTGGCCTCCGGATCCAGCCCTCTCTTGCTCCTCCTCCTGTCTGGCCTGCTGTACCTCCTCTCCCTCCCTTGGGAGACCGTCTTTGCTGCACTGAACCTGGAGATGTTGCCTGGCTTGCCTCTTCTCACGACTCCATGGTTGGGGTTCCTCCCGGCACACCTGCTCCTCCCAGGTTATATCTCTGGCTCAGCCTCTCTCTGGCCATCAGACCCACTTGTCTGCCTGCCCACTAGACATCTCCTCTTAGATAGCGTAAAGACACATTAAATTCAACATTTCTGCAGCAAATACCTTGATCTGCCCTGTTCCAACCCCATCAAGATCTTTCCCCTCTTCTCGGACTCTGTCTGCACCCTGCCAGGTATGCGGGCCAGAAGCATGGCTGTCCCCTTGGCATCTGACCCTCCAGCATCCCTCCATCTCCAGTCCATGGATAAGGATGGTTTGGTTGCTTCCTTCCTCCACCCCATCCCTTAGTGGTTTCCCATAATAAGTGCTTTCTTAGGATTCTTCCACTTAGGATCCCTACAGGACCTCTGATTAGACTCCTCTGCCCCCTACCTCCCGCCTCACCTCTACCTCTACCGCCTTGTCCTTGCAGCTTCAGGCAGCCTGGCCTCTTCCCCTCACATGCCCTCCTCTTTCCGCCTTGACTCCAAGTCTCTGCACACACTGTTCCCTCTGCTGGTATGCTTTTCCCCCCCTCTTAGCCTTGCCTTCATATCTCTCAGATGTCACTTAAGGGTCTCCTCGTCCTGGGGAAGCCTGCCCTGCCTTCCTGCCTGGCTCAAGGCCCGCTTCTACAGGCCCTCCGAGCATTGGGTACCTGGCCTGCATGGCCCCTGTCCTACTTGCAACTCAGCATCTGTTTGCAGAGTCACTTGACAATGGCCGTCTCTCCCATTAGAATGTCAGCTCCATAGGAGCTGGACCTTGCCTGTGCTTGCTCTCCACGGCTCCCCATCACCCAGTCCCAGGCCTGACCCACAGCAGGTGCTCAGTGTTGCATGGATGAGTCGTAGTCACAGGGAGGCCACACGGTACTACTGAGGCTGCAGAGAGTCGAGGGACAGGGGGGAGTGTCGCCTGCTCATGGATGTCACGGGCTCGTAGCTCCTTAAAGCCTGGCTTCTGGGCTTTCTTGGTGGACCAGAGATGACTTTATTTTGTGCGAGGTGGGGGACCTAATCTCCCCTAGAACACACATGCTTGTGGGCCAAGGCTCCATTGGCATACTGATCCTAAAGTCTCTACTACCATTGTCCTCCTCTTCCTCGTCAGCCTGCAGTGCCTCCCCCAGCAGCACACCCCCCCCCCAAGCTTGCCAACACCCTCTCAGCTAGTGGAGGGACTCCAGGTGCTCACATAGACCCAGGGAGCTGCTGAGGTGGCAGGCGGGTAGGTCTCTGTCGTGGATGTTAGAGCTGTAACAGAGCTTCAGTGGGCACACGAGGAAGGACTGAGCCTTGGGCACTCAGCGAGGGGAGGTAGGCCAAGACCAGTAGGGCTGGTGCCTGCAGGGACGGCAAGCTGTCTAGCGCCTCCTCGCCTCCCTGGTCTGTCACTTGGGTGGACCTCAACTGCAGAGGTCCAGGGGCAATGCTCAGAGGAGTAGAGGCGTCAGGGGATGGTGTAGGACGGTGTCTTGGGCCACATCAGACCACCTGTGCTTGAGCAACTCCTCTGTCCCAGCAACCAGCTCTGTCACTGGGAGCAAGGAATTTCCACCGTGGGGGTCTCTGTTCACTCTTTCTCAAAATGTGAATAATAATTCCTGCTCCTCACCAAAGAAACCTGTCCCGATTAGGTCAGAGGAACTTCGGCAGGATTCATTTTGCTATTTATGTGCTGGGTTTACTTGTTGCTGCCACATCTGATCCTCACAATCACTGTGGGAGGGACGCGGTATTATTATTCTCATTTTTCAGATGGGAAAACTGAGCCTCATAAAATAGGCGCTGTTATTTTCCTAAGCCTTGTCGGCTATTTAAAGATGGGAGTCATGGGGCGTCTGGGTGGCTCAGTGGGTTAAACCTCTGCCTTCGGCTCAGGTCATGATCTCAGGGTCTTGAGATCGAGCCCTGCATCAGGCTCTCTGCTCAGTGGGGAGCCTGCTTCCTCCTGTCTCTGCCTGCTTCTCTGCCTACTTGTGATCTCTGTCTGTCAAATAAATAAAATCTTAAAAAAAAAAAAAAGATGGGAGTCAGGTTTAGATCTGGGTCGGTCTGACTGGACAGCTCTGTGCTGGGTCCATGCCATGGTCCCTGCTTTGAGGAGCAAACAGCAAAAGGAAAATGGATACTAAAAGCACTTTGGGAATTGTCCCCTGCTCTCTACATGCTGGTGTGGTTCAGGGTTCTGTCAGGTTTGAGGACACATAGAGGGTTAGGCGGGGGCTTCCCCTCTCCAGAAGTATCTGGGTTCTGTGTTTCAAGTTGGGTGGGTGGGAAGGGGGAAGGGCACTTTTGTGACCTAGAGTATGTCAATGTGTATGAATGAACATTGGTCTTTCCCCCTCTCCCCCAGGGAAAGGGAGGTCAGGGGGGCAGGAGGGAGAAGTTGGTGTCCTTTCTCATGGTTTGAAGTGGAGGGGAGGTGTCAGGGAAATATTGGTGTTCTTAGTGCTCTGGTACCGTTGTACAGGCTGTACACTGCACAACTCTAGGAGGCACCATTCAAGTGAATGGCACTCCCTGGAGTTGTGCACCAGGCCTCATACCTAATGGCCCTGAAGTTATTCCTCAGTATAATAGCTCCGTGGTAAGCAAAGATGGTAGTTAAAATTGACTGAAAAGTTGCTGAGTAAGCACATAGCGTTTATTTGATCTTAAGCCTCACAACCGTACTCTGAAGTCAATATTCCCATTATCGGCGTTCTGCACATGGGGAAACCGAAGCTCAGAGGGGCGTGGAGAATGGCCAAGTTCACGCAGCCCCGGTTTTCCCACTCTGCCATGCGGAAAGGGGTGTGGCGGGAAACTGTTATCTGTGTGTCTCTGGTCCTCCCCCCCACAGCTGGACAAGATGCTGGACCCCCAGGTGTGGAGGGAGGCGGCCACCCAGGTCTTCTTCGCCCTGGGTCTGGGCTTTGGGGGTGTCATCGCCTTCTCTAGCTACAACAAGCAAGACAACAACTGCCACTTCGACGCCGCGCTGGTGTCCTTCATTAACTTCTTCACCTCGGTGCTGGCCACGCTCGTGGTGTTTGCTGTGCTGGGCTTCAAGGCCAACATCATGAACGAGAAGTGTGTGGTCGAGTAGGTGGCCTCTCTCCTCCTGTCCGTCTTACCCAGGTGGGGCGGGCGGGCCACAGACACAGAGTCCCTGTCCTCCTGGGGGTGGAGCTCTCTCTGTCCCCGGCTCTGGATCCCAGGCTCAAGCTCAGAAGTGTCTCCATCGATGGCCTGTGGGGCTTCCTGCCTAGGTGCCTGGGAGGTGCCTCTGGGACTGTGCCCACCCCTGCCTTTTTACCTGTCCCTCTTTGCTTTGTGCTGCAGGAATGCCGAGAAAATCCTGGGGTACCTCCATACCAACGTCCTGAGCCGGGACCTCATCCCGCCCCACGTCAACTTCTCACACCTGACTGCCAAGGACTACACGGAGATGTACAAAGTCATCAGGGCCGTGAAGGAGGACCGTTTCGCCTCACTGGGCCTCGACCCCTGCCTTCTGGAGGACGAGCTGGACAAGGTGTGGGACAGGCTGCCCTTCCCAGCCGGGGTGGGCAGGAAGTCAGATGTGGGAACATGGGACCCAGAGATGGGACTCAGGTGGCTGGAGCTCTCAAGCAAGCCTCAGAAGGCTGCCTGGGACGCGTTCACTTGCTTGAGAAACAAGGACGGACTAGGGATCCAGGGAGGGAGAGAGGAAAAGGATCAGCTAAACCCCTGCTCCAAGGTATGCTGTCTCGAGGAGATGAGGCAGACACACCTGTCATCGAAATCACAGGAATTGTACAGAATGGTGTTCAGATTCATCGAATGGGTTTCTGAGTGGGGGGAGGAGAGTCAGTGCTGTCTGTAGTGTCCTTGTGACCGTGCTTTGTACATGGCTCACAGAAAATAAGCATTTTCATTAGTGTTTACCCTCTGCTATCTCTCTCTCTTTGGCCCTCAGGCCAGTGCTATGGATACTAGGATGGTAGCCGTTTTTCTTATATAATAGGACCTCGATAAGAGCCAAATGACAAGAAAGACACACTCATACAGTTGGGGGAGGTGTTCCCTCACCTCCCGGGTTCTTACAGGATAACAGAGAAGTGACGTCAGTGGGCAGTGTGTGGTCATTTTCCTCATGAGCAGGGGCCCAAGCTTTAACACAGTGGCTCTCTCTCAGCTACCCATCAGAGACACCTGGGGACTTAATAATACCCAGATACAAGCTCTACCCCCAGACCTATCAAAGCACTGTCTCCAGGGTGAGACCCAGGCATTGGTGTTCTAAAGGCTCCAGTGTGGTCCCATTAGGCAGCTGAGGCTGAGCCCACTCTATGAAAGTCTGGAGCTCAGGGCTGGGAGCTCCCATAGTTGTGTCTGGAGCAATCGGGGAAGACTTCCTAGAGGAGGAAGGTCTCAAGCGGGGCGTTATTTCTAAATGTGAGCATCTCCGTCTGAATCACCTGGGGTCCCTGTCCAAGGCGTAGCTTCCAGATCCCACAGGTGAACTTCTAAATTGGTATCTTACTCCCTGGGATAGGGCGGATTCTGATACTCACCCAAGTTTGAGACCCACTAGCGGAAAGATGAGGAGTTAGGCAAGGGCACGGATGCCTGTGAAAGAGGGGAGAGTTATTCTTAAAGCTCTGGGGGCAACGATAAGAGGGCAAGGGGCTTCCAGGAGCGGCATGGGCCTCACTGAGCCCTCGCCTGTGCCCCACCCTCAGTCCGTGCAGGGCACAGGGCTGGCCTTCATCGCCTTCACCGAGGCCATGACGCACTTCCCTGCCTCCCCGTTCTGGTCTGTCATGTTCTTCCTGATGCTTATCAACCTGGGCCTGGGCAGTATGATTGGGACCATGGCCGGCATCACCACACCCATCATCGACACCTTCAAGGTGCCCAAAGAGATGTTCACAGGTAACTCCTCCTGGCAGCCCCCGCTGGCCTGGTGGGCTGCCCTCAGGGACGACAAGCAGGACAGGCCTCTGACTTAAACAGACTCCACGCTGAGAAGGCTCCCCGCCGCCCTCAGTGGGATGCAGTCGGAGCCTGGCTTGCCTCCCAGAGAAGAGCGCTCAAGAGCCAGGAGAAGGCTGTCTGGGAATCTGGACCCAGCCTGAGCTGGGGGTGGCCTCTTCCTCGGGTCATTTGCCTCTCTCTCTGAGGGCCTGCTGAATCCTCTTGGGCAGGAGTGTCCTTCCCCATGCCAGCCTGCACCTGTTCCATCTCTCCTAAAGGAGTGGGAGCTCAGAACCCCAGCACCGGATCCCTCCCCCCTTGAAGGCCTTCAGGGAGGAGGGGTGGGAAGGGAGGGGCCTGGGTGCCCCCCTAACCCCCCCGGGCCCCGCCTACCCTGCGCCTGTGCCCCCACACCGGCCTCCCGGCTCTCTGTAGTGGGCTGCTGTGTCTTTGCATTCTTCGTGGGGCTGTTGTTCGTCCAGCGCTCCGGAAACTACTTTGTCACTATGTTTGATGACTACTCGGCCACCTTGCCGCTGACTGTCATCGTCATCCTTGAGAACATCGCCGTGGCCTGGATCTATGGAACCAAGAAGTAAGGGGGCCACAGGGAAGGGTGGGATGGGAGGAGGGGTCTGTCCTCTTCTGACCCCCTGGAGAGTGCTTCGTTCCCCCGGGCTGCTTCTGAGTGGGACAGGAGATCACAGAGACAGAATGTCAGAGAAACTGAGACGCAGAGAGAGGACGTGACTGCCCAGGGCCACGTGGCTGGTGAGAGGCAGAGCCAGGCTGAGCATGTGAGTCTCCTGGGTTCAGGTCCTGGCATCGCCCTAAACTGCCTTAAATTACCATAGCCCCCTTACCTGAGACCCAAAACTCTTCAGTTTTGTTAACTTTGTTGAGCACTTAGTGGGTATCTAAGAGGGATCCACCCTCAAAGAATTCTGGAACTTCAGCAGCCCGAGGCAGTTTTCAGGTGATCGACCTAGGGGTGTGCGATGAGGTGTGGTTAGGGCCGGAAGTGTGGGGTCAGGTCGGGTCAGGGAAGTCAGGAGTAAGGAAGCATTAGTTCTCGTGGCCTGAGCCTAGGGCAGAGCCACACTCCCCATCAGCCCCTAGCCTCGTTCCTCATTTAACAAATCTGTGAGCCTGGGAAGCCCCAGGGCCAGGCCCCTCCCACTCTCTCTGCAAGGCCTGGGGCTCCCCTGATGTCTGGTCGGGGTCTCAGAATCACGCTCTCTCATGGCCTTGGCTACAGTCATCTCCTTCCTACAAGAATGCAGGTGGGACCCAATGGTGGGTCAGGAGCAGCCCTGGGATTCATGGTTGGAAGGGGCTCTGACTCTTCTGCTGTCTGGTGAAGACGCTGCACACCTTCTCAGAATATTATTTTTGGGTGGACAAAATAAAATAGATAGGATTCTATAGGAAACGAGTTAAGCTGAAAAATAGCAAAAATACTGTTTAAAATCTGGTATGGTAATGTATGTGCAGTTTTTTTCATGTATGTGTTATTTTTACTGCATTAAGTCAGAAGATTTCGCTAGGGTAATAATAACGGTAATTGTGAAATAGTGATGAATATAAATGACGTTTGTAGGTAGGTTCAGTCGTAATGTGATAGGGAGATATAGGTCATTGTGGCTAATACCACTGTGGTGGTTTGCATTTACAGTAGAAAGAAACGCAAGGTTTCAGTTAGGTGTTATTCAAGTAGAGAAGATTTTTTTCTTATGACATTCATATAACAGCGTGTGGCTACGGTCATCCCACCCGCAGACCCCGAGGTTAGAAACCCCAAGTCAGGGCCTCTGGACTCTACGGAAGTGCACTTCACCTTCTTTCCAGCAGGGGGAGACCAGGCCCAGGCCAGTGTGAATGGGGCGGGGTCCATGGTGTCCGCAGAGGTCCTCAGGTGCCTGCCCCGCTGCCCGGCATGTCCCGCGGATTATACCATATCCCTGGGTGCGGTGTGACGTGTGGTATTCAGAGGAGGTTGGCAGGCGACACCAGAGCCTGCCCAGAGGCCAGCTGGGCCACCACATAATAAACTGGTATCCCCAGATGTGAGGAATGGAAGAGCCTGGGAGGGAGGGATTGGTCAGTAAAGGTTTCCTGGAGGAGGCGGTTGTGGGGGAATGCGCAGGCACAGTGTGGATGCCAATGCTGGGCCCTCTGCTCCTGGCAGGTTCATGCAGGAGCTAACGGAGATGCTGGGCTTCCGACCCTATCGCTTCTATTTCTACATGTGGAAGTTCGTGTCTCCACTGTGTATGGCTGTGCTCACCACGGCCAGCATCATCCAGCTGGGGGTCACGCCCCCAGGGTACAGTGCCTGGATCAAGGAGGAGGTGAGGGGGACCTGAAACCTCAGGGTCACTTTAATACAACAGGCAATAGAGATGAATCCTCAGAGGGTAGCTGCTGTGTGCCAGGCCCTGCCAGGACCTCTGTCTTTACAAAAGCCGGGAGAGAGAGGTGGCACTATCCCCTAGCACACATAGGGAGATCGAGGCTCAGAAAGGTTGACACACTCGTCCAGGTCTCACCCGTATTCTCTCTCCATGTCTGTGGAGCAGAATCACCCACCCATTTTACAGATGTAGAAACAGACCCAGGGGAGCTCGGGCTCTTAACCAAGGGGACCAGCTAACTCAAAGAGCGACAGTGAGGGCCTCCATTGCTGGCCTGGCCAGGATGGCAAGGGGTGGGGTGGGAAAGGGCAGGAAGAGACCGGCCTGGAGGTCCCGGAGGGTGAGCTCCTCACAGCCCTCATCCCCGTCCCCCTACCAGGCAGCCGAACGCTACCTATACTTCCCCAATTGGGCCATGGCGCTCCTGATAACCCTCATTGTCGTGGCGACCCTGCCCATCCCCGTGGTGTTCGTCCTGCGGCACTTCCACCTGCTCTCCGACGGCTCCAACACCCTCTCCGTGTCCTATAAGAAAGGCCGCATGATGAAAGACATCTCCAACCTGGAGGAGAACGATGAGACCCGCTTCATCCTCAGCAAGGTGCCCAGTGAGGCGCCGTCCCCCATGCCCACCCACCGCTCCTACCTGGGGCCCGGCAGCACGTCCCCCCTGGAGACCAGCGGGAACCCCAATGGACGCTACGGAAGCAGCTACCTCCTGGCCGGCACCCCTGAGTCGGAGCTGTGACCACCGCCCCACACTCCCTGCCTGCCTCTCCCCCACCACGCCCATCCAGCCCGCTTGTCCCAACCTGGCCTGTCTTCTTAGGCCAGGCCCTCTGCCCAAGGAGAGGGGGTCTGCCCTGCCTCATCCCCCACCCCAGTCCCAGCCAGCTTCTCCCTACACCTGAGCAGGGGCTGGGAGAGACTGTCCTCAGTGCAGGCTCCCAACTCGTCTAACCTCCTGAGATCCTCTCACCAAACTGCAGCTGACTAACTCGAACAGTCCAGAAGCCCTGATTCCCAGCACAGGAGAGATGGCGAGTGGCCATCGTAGGGGTCGCTCCCCACACCTTCTCTCTCTCTGTAACCTGGCACCTGTAGGTCTTAAGTCCTGGCCATCTCTCTGTGCTGATGAGAAGCACCCGGTGGGGTAGGATGCTGATGATTTATCCTAGGGGTGATGCATCCCAGGGGCTGATTTAAGACTGGGGATGGGACAATTGTGCCAGGACTCAGGGCTCAGCCTTGGGATGGAATCTCGTAGAAGTCCCCAAGTTCTGTTTTGCGATGCAGATGGCACGCTCTGCCTTGAGCGCCAGCCTTGGCAGCGGAAGGGGGCTAGGCATGGGGGCCCCCTCAGCCCAAGGCTCTGGGTGGGATCTCCCATGTCCTTGGCCCTGCCTGGGGCAGGGTGTGTCCTGTCACATCCTGCCTGGGAGGGTGATGATTGCTCGGGACCCTTCCCCACCTCCACTGGGGCTTTGCCTGCCCTCTCTGTCCCCACCCGGGAGCCCACAGTTGTGGGCTCTTTCCTCAAGAGAGGAGGGGACAGTACCCAGAGAGGTTTCCAGAGCACACCTGATGGTTCACAGCACAATTCAGTTTGGAGCACAATTGTGAAGCACATTCCCTTACCTGGGGCCCAACTTCCTCGCTTGCGGCAGCTTCTCTCCTGGAATGGGGGTCCCTGGAGCTCAGGGGCTCATACCCAGGAAACCTCACACCTGGGGAAAGACAGATATTTTCACTGCCCCTTTGGGCTGCCGCTTATTCTCCTTGTGTGCGGTGTGCCCGTCTTGTGCAAATAACCTTGGGAACCTTCCCCAAGATGCCCAGCCCATGGTGGGGAGGGTGCGGAAAGTGCTGTGGACACTACAGGCTGCCGAAGGGAAGGGCTGGGTCTCTGTTCTGGGGCCCAGCACCCCCAGCACCCCACCCACCCTGACCTGAGGCCTCCCCCGGAAGAGAGCTGCCCTCAGAACGCAGGCTGGGAGGATCAGAGCCTGGCTGGCGAATCGTGTCTGTAGAGCAACGGATGGCCCGGTGGAGGGACGCGTGCATGGTGCGCAGCCGTGAATGGATGGCACGCAGGCAGGCAGGCCAGGACGGCCCAGCTCCATCTGTGAGCGCCATGGTGGGTGGAGTGGCTGCAGGCCACAGTGCTAGGTCTGGGCACCTTCACGGAAGGTCCTGAATTCTTCTCGTGTTCTCAGCACGGGGAGGGACAGACAAGACCCAGGGTTCCCTCCTTCATCCCTTAGCCCCTTGGTCCACCCCCCCCACCTTCCCTGGGGGTCCTTCCTCCCACCCTGCCATTTCCTTGACTCATCCCTCCCCCACAACTACTCCCATTTCCAGCCCTCCAGCCACACCCGTCCTTTCGGAGTGTGAGGGGAGAAGGAGACCCACGTCTCCCCAAAGACATGAGCCTTTGGGGGACAACATCCCGCCTGAGGCACCCTCACCTAACGCCTCCTGCCTGGTCCCATGCCTAATCCCGGCAGATTTAGCAACAGGAAAAGCAAGGCCCCGGGAGAGACACTATACTATATATACTTCTAGTCTATTTCTATTGTATATTCAATCTGTACACGTGGGTGTAAATGCGGTTAACTGACAAACCCCATATTCTGCCGTGGCTCGTGGACTATTTTCATCCTCAGTGCTGTACAGATCTATTTTCATTGTATATTTGATATATTTTTAATTTTGTAGCGTGTGGCTGGGCCAGGCCCCAGCCCGCCAGCCTGTATCGGGGCGGCGGAGCTGGGCCGTCTGCTTGGATCCCAAGAGCTGGGTAGTGCTTGCAGCCTTCTGCTGTAGGCCAGGCCCTGTCCTGGCTGTGTCTCCGCTGTGTTAGACATAGGGCCTGGAGCTTGGCGCGTGCGCGTGTGTGTGTGTGCGGCGGGTGCGCATAAGTGGGTATGGGTGCGTGTAGGGTGATTTGTGATTCCCAGGGTTCACCACGTTCCTGAAGACCACACTGCCCTCCCCCTGCCTCCTTCTCCTCCCAGCTCTGTCAGGCAAGGCCTCGGGGCAGGGTGCTGTGGGGAAAGGCGGGTGTTTCATGCTGAGGACTCATTGCCTTCACACCACTGGGCTTGCCAGAAGCAGGAAAGGAGGGGCTCTGGGCCGACGAGCCCCTAAATCTGTTTTCTAGCTAACCTCTCACTGTTCCTCCCGGACTCATGAGCTCTTCATCCTGAGGAAAAGCACTGGGTTTCTTGAGATGGTGACACCCCAGGAGAGCAGCTCGCAGCGCCTCTGTCCCGCGTTTGTCCTTGAGACGGTTCTGAGAGAGTTCTGAAAGGAACAGCTGCCCTTCGCCTGAGCTTCTGATACACACTCCTCTCCTCAGTCCTCAGGGCAGCTGGGAGTGAGGCAACACCTGTGGGGGAGTCAAGAACAGGTGGGGCATCTGATGAGGTATGATCCCTCCCCAGATGCCCCAGAGGAGCAGGAGGGGGCCAGAGAGGGGCAGGCCCCCACATCCCTGTGCAGGGTCCCCATCCCTTACTGGTTTTGGTGCTGTCCAAGCAGTGCCCACAGGGGGACAGTGGGCTCAGGGCAGGGCGGGGCAGGGCGGGGCGTGCCTGGAAGAGTCCCCTGGTCCCTGCCCCTTCCTGTCCTCCAGCCCCAGTCACCAGCTTCTTGCTCAGGGAGCCCTCTCCACTGAGGCAGCATGAAGCCCAAGATCCAGATGGGGATGGACAGGGAGGACATTCTAGCTGATACCAGCGGGGTGGGCCTCGGCCCTCCAGCAATAAATCTGAGGGGACTTGCACTCTCCTAGTGCCGGGAGAAGGCTTCCTGAGTCACCTGCCATCGGCTGAGGCTGGGGGCTGATAGCTGCATGGTGCCGGGCCCTGAGCAGGCCTACAGTATTATGGGCAGGGGCTCCCCTCCAGCCCCTCCTCACAGCTGCATCCCCCTCCCCCCACCAGAGTACTCCCATGGTGGAAAAGAGGAGAGACAACAGGTTAGAACACACCTGCCTCCCGGAGCATCCACTAGGCCCTGAAACTGGGGGCCTGCTGCCCCCTCACTGGAGCCTAATGACCAGAGGTGGGAAGAAGGGTGCAGGGTCCCTCCTCAACCCGAGCACTGCTTTGTATAGACCCAAGCACATACAGCCGGTATCACTTTTGGTTCGGGTATAAGTTTAGAACAGTTCAAGTCCATGTGCCTCGTGACTGGCCAGAGCCCTGGGTGAAGACCACTGAACCCAGGGGAGGGGATGAGGCATCGTCAGCCCTAGATCCCCTCCTTCCTCTCTTCATCGCCCCCCCCCCCCACCCATGGTGTACAATAAAGTGTCTGTTCTTACCAAACCCTTCCTGTCTTTCTGACTTTCTCCAGGCTCGGGGAGAGGGGATGGGAAGGCCAGAGATCCCAACAGAAACTCTGGAAGACAAGTGTGGGATGGGATGGGGCAGAGAGGACTGCGGTGGGGTTGTGGGTGCTGGCTGGCTGAGGAGTTCGGGCACAATGAGGAGGGATGCATGTTTATTTTCCTGAAATCATCTTGGGTGTTGAACAACACACACACTTGTAGCAGGCCTTTCGGGGGTCCAAGTCCTCCACACACAAAATCTCACATGAACAGCTTCAGAGGGAGGTGTTTTGTGCTCCAGGTTTTCCCAAGGAAGGAGAATGAGGCTCTGACACGAGAAAGGTGCTTGGTGCTTGTGGGGTCTTATGGGGTAAATCCTGCCTTAGTGCCAGGAAGAGTGGTACCTGTCACTCTGCAAGGAAGGGCGCAGGTGGAAACCCACCTAGGGATGAAGAGCTGGGGGCTGGGAGAGAGGAGAGGGATGGCAGGGGGCTAGAGGGGTCACGGGGAGCCACATTCTAAGTTCTCATCTTTTGCAAACTTCTGCGGAAGGTAAGGTGCCCCTACCGCACCCCACTCCAGTCTGGAATGCTGCTGTCTCACCTTCCCCCGCCCCCCCACACCCCGGACTGCATGTACAGCCAAGGTCCCCCAAGCAGCCCTCCGATTCCTTCTCCAGCCTTAGAAGAAAACAGTGTCATTCCAGAAATAGCCACCAGGTGGTAGGAAAACCTTTCCCTCCAGATCTTCGGACTGACCCTTCTCTCCAACTCCAGCACTTCTGCCTTTGTGGATTAGTTTGACTGTTGAACGAGCATATATTAAGTGTCCACAGTGACAGGTCACGTGCCAGTGATGGATGCACAAAGATAAGTAAATCGTCCTGTTGTCCTGAGTTTTCTGAAGGGAATACCTGTCCCCACCATCCCCAGACTCCAAATCACCCCACTGTACCTTTCAATCCTGAAAGTCTCTGTGCTGAAAATGTCCCTCCTTGTAAATTCATTCAGTCATTTGTTTGAAGGGAAGGTTTTTGGTTGAAATGTCGACCCCTCCGTCCCGCAGGAGGTGCACATAGACCCACTAAGAAGCAGTGGGTGTGAAGGAGCTATGAAGTCTGACTCTCTTAAGTTCAAATTGAAATGCCAGCTGGACCTCCTGCCTCCCAGGAGACCTAGGGCAAGTTATTTAACCCCCCTGAGCTTAAATGTCCTAGTTTGTAAAATAGGTATAATGAATGAATTGGAAGAGATTATGCATGTTGCTATATATCAAGTTACCCCAAATCTTAGTGGCTTAAAGCAACCATTTTATTCTATCTTGTGGGTTTGGGGGTAAGAGATTTGGGCAGGGCTTGTCTGAGTGACTCTTCTGGTGGCAACCGCGGTCCCGCGGTCCCTCAGCGGTGTTGAACTGCAGAGAAGCTGGTCTGGAGGGCCCGAGGGAGCCTCACTCACATTCATCCCAATGAACTCAGCTGGGACTGTCCCCAGAAGAGTGTCACACCAGGCTTCTCCAGCATAGTGCCTCTCTGGGTGGCTAGACTTCTTAAGTGATGGCTCAGGGTGTCCAGAGAGGCCCTTTCAAAAGATAAGAGTGGGAGATGCCAATTTCTTAAGATGAGGGCCTGGAAAATGATGCAATGTCTCTTCTATTGTGTTCTATGATCACAGTATCTGCTCAGGGTTAACGGGAGGGCATATAGACCCCTCTTGCCGATGGGAAAGGGGGGCCACAGAACTTGTGGCAGCCCATGTCCCAGGCCCATCATGGGGTGCTAGGGATTTGCAACCATTGACATCTGGGTGGGAGCTTTCTCCTTGGCGGGATATCAACTTACAGACACAAAAGTGGGGTACAGAACAGGTTTGTTCTGATGGAAAGGTGAGTGTCTGAGCTGGGGCTGTAGGAAGACCTGAGAACAGCTCATTCTGTCTGGGGCAGGTGACATGCCTCGGTTTGAATCAAGGCTTTGTCACTGACTGTGTGAACCTAGGCAGGCCACAAGCCTCTGGACCTCTATTTCTAGTCTGGAAATGGAGAAGGGCAATCAGATCTCTTCTGCGTGGGGATTGCTGTGAGGGAAAAAGGAACTCCTTCTGGAACACCTCCTAGAATACAGTGCAGAATTCTTTCCATACTGGAATACAATAAGTACTCATTAAACAGTTGCTTCCTTCCTTTTTGCAACTGGAGTAAGTCCAGGGAGGCCTGTCTCATTCCAGGGGTCCCATCACCTGTGCAATGAGCCATTCTCACAGAGCCATTCAGAAAGGACAGTTTCAGCCCCAAATCCAAAGAAACTAAGAAAGGAGGGGAAAGAAGGCATCGTTTCCAAAGAAGGGAGTATCATTGATCCTACACACTGTCCTGCTCCCCCCAGAAAATAGCTACAGCCAGCCCCACAGCCTCAGCCCACCTGTAAGGGCTTGGGTTAGGGTTGAAGGATTCCACACACCACAGGATGTGGTGGTTTTAAAAAAATGGCCTCGGGGGCGCCTGGGTGGCTCAGTCGGTTAAGCAGCCGCCTTCTGCTCAGGATATGACCCTGGGGTCCTGTGATTGAGCCCCTTATGGAGCCCTGTATAGAGTCCTGGGCTCCCTGCTCAGTGGGGAACCTGTTTCTCCCTCTGATTCCCGCCCCCTGCCTGTGCGTGCGCGCTCTCTCTCTCTCTCCCTCTGTCAAATAAATAAATAAAATCTTTTTTTTTTTTTAATGACCCTAATCCTTTAATACTTCAAGTGGAGTCTGTGCTCCTCCCCTTGAATCTGGGTGAGTAAACGTCTCCCGGGACCCACAGAGCACAGCAGAAGTGATGCTATCTGGCCTCTGCGGCTAGCTTAGGAAAAGACGTGCCACTTGTACCTGGCATTCTAGGGTTAGTGGTTCTAGGGGAACCTGGCCGCCACGTAGGAAGTCCAACTGCCCCGAGACTGCTAGAGGAGCTGTGTGTTTGGAGGCAGTTCTGTCGGAAGGCGCAGCTCAATTCCCAGCTGAAGGCGGCCATTACTGTGAGCCACGGGAGCATGCCACAGTGAGCATGCAGCCCTGCTGAGCTCGAGAGGTCGGCAGCCCCGTGGACTGCAGCTGTGGGAGGGACCCAAAGCCAGAACTGTCCAGCTGAGCCCTTCTGACCCGCTGCCCCAGAGTATCCTGAGCAAAATAAAATGCTTGTCATTTTGACACCACTAAATTCTGGGGGACATTTGCTTCAAAGCGATAATAACCAGAACATGAAGCCTAGTGATGATCTGGCCCAACTTCCTTCTAGAACAATCAGAGAACTTGAGGCCCAGAGAGGGGAAGAGTTCGACCCAGAATTCCCACAAGCAAATGGGGTGGGGGGGTTGGGGAACCAGGGCTGACACCTGGGTTTCTTGACTCCCAGTCTAGAGAATGCAAGTTCTGACTGGGAGGGCTTCTACCTTCCCCCCATCTTATCCCACCTTACGAGTTCCATGCGTCAAGCATGAACTAAGTGTTCTGAATCCTAAGGATTGTGCTAAGCACTGGTAATTTACAAATAAGGATCAGGCAGGGCCATCTGCCTCGTGTAGGCAGTCATAATCTGATTTGGAGGTCCCATCACTGTCATTACCCACTGGTATCAGGCACCCAGGTGCATTCTTCACTGACATTGTCCTATGTGGGAGGAGACCCGGGAAATGGGGAGAAGATGATATCTGTCACTCAACCACAAACCATTATTAAGATTACTCCATGCCAGCCAAAGTGCCAGGTGCAGAGCGGAAAGACTTAGTGGAGATCCACCCTGCAGCTCCCTGGATCAGAGCTGGCTGGCTTCTGGGTCTCTCCATTCTTCCCAGGGCTGGCCCAAGCAGGGAGGGATCCCTGGGCTTCATAAGCATCAAAGAGGAGCCAATGTTGGGTCTGCCTCTCCAGACAACGGCTTTCCCTTTCCCCAGGACACTGCTGGAGCGAGCTGGGACCGTCATAACTAATTAACCAGTCTAATGGAATGAACCAGTTTTGTTGGAATTTAGCCCAGGTGGGAGGAATCTGTACTTTTCTAGATGGAGAAATGCTGAATGCCAAGAAGTACTGCCAGCTGGGCCCTGAGCTAGTGTGTCTGTGTGTGTGTGTGTGCACGCGCACACGCGCGTGCACGCGTATGTACGCACCCGCACCCGCTTTCTCTGGTTGAAGACTGGGTCTCTATCCCAGCAGCCTTGAGTAAAGAGGGCTCTGGGGGTCCACTTAGCTGGCCCTGGTCCTGTGACTCCCATGAATACTATCCTACAGGCAGAGGCCATATGGGATCCCGTATCATTCTCTACCCTTGGACCAATCATAGGCCCCGCTCAGTCTCCCAGAGCTCACTGCTGCTCCTTGGGACTGAAATCTCTTAAGAAGACTATACCTGGGAGCTGGTGCTCCCGTCCCTGCCAACTGTCTGACTCCGAGTCTATGAGTTATGAGGATTTGAGTCTTGGCCAAGCCTGAGTCTCTGGCCTGCACCCTTCTGGTCCTTTCCCTTTAAGGGCTGGGACATCAGAACCCATCTCCTGAGTTCCAAATACACCTTCATAGGATTTTAAGAGCCACCCACCCTGCCTTCTGCCCCTGTGCAGAACCATTATAGCTGACCTCCACAAGGCCCCGAGGGCTGTCCTCCATGCTGGGCTCTCCCCAGGTCCCTCTTGGGAAGGCTCTCAGCATTTGACTTGAAGCCTGTTAGTCTCTGCAGGCTGCCTGCAGGTGGGGGCAGGAGGCAGGGTTCAAAGAACTGATAAGCAAACAGGAACCTTCCAGCCTCCTCCCCCTCTCTTATTTAGTGCCTTCACTAGAGGGAAGGAAATGCTCTATCACCTTCCCGCCAGTGATGATGGCTGAAAAACCTTTCAATTAATTGGGCTGGGGGGCAGGTAGGCTGGGAAAGGATGCTGGTTCCTTGACTTGGGCCTCAGGAAGGAGGGGTCAGTCCCTGGCCAGAACTGGAATGCCAAAAAGGGAAGATGTATCAGCGGAGAGATCCTTGCTTGACAGCTGTGGGACTTGCTGCTATGGCTGGAACCCCGCAAAACAACTAGAGTCCAAAATGGGAAGATGGAGAGGATATTGGACGGCTCCTGTCACCCCAAAGTGGCTGAGCCCCACTCCAAGCCCCAGTAGGGAAAGGGGAAGGGCAAACGGCTTTGATGTCGGCTCTCCAGCTCTGGGTGGTCAGGGACGACCTCAGCTTTCAGAGACCAATGAAGGGCCTTATTTGAGGGGCTTGCCAGCCCATCAGTGTCACTCTGGGAACAAACGCCCTCTTTTCTTGTTCTCGTGCTATCCCTTTATTCCTGGTAAGGGGAACCACTGTGGCTGCCACTTTAGTGTAGCTAGTGCCCAGAAAGGGGCTCTTTTCTGACTGCGAGATGCAGCTCTGGGGCCCCGAGAAGGAAGGTGGAGAAAAGGAGACAATGGAGGGAAAGAGGCTTGAGGATTTAGGAATTTCCTGCTGTGGCTATTTCACAACCTTGCTTAAGCCTGCTGGTTATCAGAGTCTTGGAGGAATGGGATAGGGCAAGAGCAAGCAGAGTCTCCGATGCGAGAAGTAGACTGGGAATTGACCGGAAACCCAGAATCTGGTGTTACCCCAAGCCTGTAACTCGTTTTCTCCTCATCCCCACAGCCCTGAGTGGTGAAGTCTGGTGCAGGGATTCCTAGCACCACCAGGGGGCAGCACCTACCCATCCAGAGTAGGCTGGCACAGGGCAGGCTGGGCAGGGGGCTCTCTACTCCGTCCTGGGTTCTGTACTTTGGGGAAATAGCATGACTTCATACATGCAGAGCTAATGGAGAGGAGCCTTATGATGCCAGCTTCAACGTTTTTAAGCCCCCAGAAGATTCCAGAAAGGCCAGGAGACAGGTTAGTTCAGAGCTCTAGGATAAAGCCTTCAGCAAGTGGAGAGGATGTCTCTGGAGGCCTCTGGCTGAGCTCCCATCTTTTGGAGCTGGTCAGTGCACTGAGTCAGGGACCCTCCCAACCCCTCACTACCCTCAACCCCCCGGCACCTGGACTCCCTCCCTCTCCCAGGCTGGGCCCTCTATTTTCTCTGACTCTTCCTGGGTTCCCCTACCCCCACCCCAACTTTTTGATCCTATACCCCTCCCTCCAGGCCTTCTATTTGCCTGGTAGCTTTCTCCCTCCACCCATCTCCCCACATGCTTGTCACCATCCACAAACACTGCAGAATGCTAGAACCAAGAGTGCAAAGATTTGCTGGGATCTGGTGGGGGCAGGGGTGGGGAGGGCTATTTTATTCCTTGACTTCCAGTGCCTGAACCGCTTCTGGTACACAGTAGGTACTCAAGAAATATTTACTGGATGAAGAAATGACTCGGCTATGGGATGCTAGGATTGTCCCCCCCCCCCCCCGCCCATTACTCCCATCCCACTCCCATCAGTTTCTCTCTCTTCTTAGAATGACTGAACTCAGCCAGCCTGAAAAATGCAAGTGGGAGAGACCCCCTCTGCCAGGACACACCCAGACAGCATGTTAAAGCCATTCATCGTGGTCAGTTCTTTTAAAGTCCTTGCTATGGCTCTTCCTTTCTCACTCCAGCTTCTGTTCAGTCCTGGGTCTCCTCTTCTCAGTCACACTTGGGATATTTTTTCTTTGCTGCAGCAAAATCAAAGCCAGCCAAACTCTGAAATGCAGACATTAGGGACTGGACACATAAGAGGTGCTGGCAAATGTGTGTTTCTGGCCACAGTCCAAGATGGTACCCACCTTCCCTGCATATTAGTACAGATCATCAAAGACCACGATCCTTCTGGTTTCCTGACCTCATTAATGATACTTTTGCAGACAACCCTTGGCATCTGCATTGAGCTTTTAACTTTTCCTAGGAGCACACCCAAGCCCTTGTCTTGTTTTCCGAATAACCGGGTACTGCCTGATCTGGAAGTTGGGTGGTGCACAGGTGTCCAGACCAAGTGTCCATCGCCTTGCAGTTTGGCCTTAAAATCCTCCTTACGTCACCCGGATGGACATGGAGGCTGCCTCAAGCTGTAAGAAAATAATGAGTGTTAACATAAAGATGTCGAAGAGGCTCTGGACTCAAAAGCAAATAAAAACAGATGAATCTGGAAATTGCTCTTGGGATGAGGCCAGTAACATCCGGCTGGAGCCTAATGTTTTGGGTATGGCAGCTTCTCAATCACTTAGCAAAGAGGGTCTCAGAGGCAGGCACTGTGGGAGCTATCAAGATGAAAAAGCAGCAGGGTCTGGAAGACCTCAGGGTCAGAGACGGGAGATGAGACAAATTGCAATGAGTAAAGCAACACAGAGTCAGGAGGGGGTCGCAAGGCAGGCACGGGGGCACTTTCTAGGTGCTTCCAGGGCATGGAGGAGCCACGCCTTTAACCTAATGATCTTTCAGGACGACACACTCCATACCCATGGGTGCCAGAGCTCAGGTTTTCTTCCGCCCAGACCAGGAGCCAATTCTCTCCGCAAGGCCCCCAGGTCTCACATTCCACGGTGAGAGAGACAGTACCAAGGCCACAGGCATCTTGGGCCTAGCTGGGCCTCGGAGGCGCAAGATGGGGGCGGGGTGGTCAGGAAGTCCCAACAGGGTGTCTGGGACAGGAGAGGGCAGCCTCTTCCTCGCGACACCGTCTCTCCACTCCCTTTCTTCCCCGTTCTCCAGTCCGTCGCAATGAAACCGCAACAATAGTGGGCAGGGGGAGACCAGAGCAGCCAGAAGGGACGGGCGGGGGTTAGAGGTCAGGGGCCGCGAGCGCTTGGGTGTCACCGAGCCTGCAGTGGGAGGAGCTGTGGGGCCGGGGGTAGGCGGGGAGCCGGGCCGATGGGGGCGGGGGGTGGGGGGAGGACGGTGGCGGAGGCGCGCAGAAGCGGCGCGCCAGGCTGGGCGCTGGCGGCGAGGGGGTTACGCGCCTCGGCTCGACTCGGCTCGGCTCCGCGGAGGAAGGCTGAGCTCTGCGGCCGCCGGGGCCCTGCAGCGAGCCCGGTCGGCCCCGCGCCGCGCCCCGCCCACCCCACCCCGCGGAGGGTGCGCCCGGGCGAGGCGGGGCGGGGAGGAAAAGGCGCCAGCGAAGAGTAGCATCCGCTACCATCGCCGCAGGGAGATCGAGAGCCCCCCTTAAGCCCCAGCCCACCAGCGCCAAGGCTCCTCTACCCTCAGGCCACCTTTCGCCCACCTCCTGTCTCGAGCCAAGGCCGGCACCCCGCCCGGAGATGGGCAGACGCGCGGATGGCGTGGCTCCCAGCGCCGCCAGATCGCAGGAGCCCGGCGCTGGGGCGCTGCGCTGAAGCTCCCGATCGGCGCAGCCTGGGAAGCCTGCAGGTGTCCTTGGCCGCTCGGCCGCCGGAGCCCAGAACCCCGCGCCCCGGAGCGGCTCCGCCCCTCAGGCTCGGCGCTGCGCAGGACGCCCCGTCTGAGGCCCCCCCGCCCCAGCACGGCCCCCGCTGCGCAGCGCCAGCCCAGCGCCGCTCCCAGCCGCTGCTGAGCGGCGGACGCAGGACCTGAGGCTCGCTCCTGCGGGCGCGCTTGTTTTTCTGGGGCCGCCTCGCCCTGCGCAGCCCCCGCCCGCCTAAACGCCGCGCTCCGCTCAGCCCCGCCCGCCTTCGGAGCCCTGCGCTGGATTTATGAATGGGGGGAAGAGGCCACATGCCGCCGCCACCGCCGCGTGTTGACCGCAAGCACCCCGGGCCCGCGGAGCTCCGGCTGCCGTGAGAGCGTCTGCCCGGCCCCGGCAGCCGCTCCGAGAACTTGTTGCTGCTGCGCTGCCGCCGCCGCGGAGAAGCCGGCGGCTCCCGGGACTCGGCACGGTCTGGGAGAGCCGGAGGGTGGCCCGTGTGAGTGTGAGCGCGCGCGCGCGCTCCCCGGACCCTCGCAGTGCGCCTGGACTGTGCGCTAACTCGCCTTCTGGGGGAGAAGGGGGGGCGTGTCCAGAGCCCAAGCGTCTGAGTGTCCAGTCCTAGCAGGGGAGGTGTGTGTTTGCCCTTGCCTCCCCGGGCCCCTCGCCCGGGTCCTCGGCTAGCCTTTTTCTTCCCTGCCTCCTCGCCGAAGCTGCCTGCCCAAACCCCAACCACCTGTGCACCCGAGAAACCCAACTCCTCCTGCTCGGCGCCCCGGCGGGGAGGCAGGGGCAGGGCCAAGCCGCAGAGGGGGCCGCCGCCGCCTCCTGCCTCCTCCTCGCCTCCTCCCCCTCCCCCGTCTGACGCTGCCTCCTCGGGAAGGGTGTTTAGAGGGCAGCGGCCGCCCCAAGCCGAAGCCCCGCAGCGCTTCTTATGATCAGCTCGGTGTGTGTCTCCTCCTACCGTGGGCGCAAGTCGGGGAACAAGCCTCCGTCCAAAACATGTCTGAAGGAGGAGATGGCCAAGGGCGAGGCGTCGGAGAAGATCATCATCAACGTGGGCGGCACGCGACATGAGACCTACCGCAGCACCCTGCGCACCCTACCGGGCACCCGCCTCGCCTGGCTGGCCGATCCCGACGGCGGGGGCCGGCCCGAGTCTGATGGCGGCGGTGCAGGCAGCAGCGGCAGCAGCGGCGGCGGGAGCTGCGAGTTCTTCTTCGACCGGCACCCGGGCGTCTTTGCTTACGTGCTCAACTACTACCGCACCGGCAAGCTGCACTGCCCCGCCGACGTGTGCGGGCCGCTCTTCGAGGAGGAGCTCACCTTCTGGGGCATCGACGAGACCGATGTGGAGCCCTGCTGCTGGATGACCTACCGCCAGCACCGCGACGCCGAGGAGGCGCTCGATATCTTCGAGAGCCCGGACGGAGGCGGCGGTGGCACGGGGACGGGCGACGAGGCCGGCGACGAGGAGCGCGAGCTGGCCCTGCAGCGCCTGGGGCCCCACGAGGGAGGTGCGGGCCCCGGCGCCGGGTCCGGGGGCTGCCGTGGCTGGCAGCCCCGCATGTGGGCGCTCTTCGAGGATCCCTACTCCTCCCGGGCGGCCAGGGTAAGTGGCAGGAGCCTGGGTCTCCTCTCAGGGGTGCAAGGGGGCCCGTGGCGGTGGGGATAGGGGCCGGGAGGGGCCGGCAGAGACTGATTTACCTGGCCTCTCCCTCCTTCCCACTAGGAGCCTGGGTCTCCTCTCAGGGGTGCAAGGGGGCCCGTGGCGGTGGGGATAGGGGCCGGGAGGGGCCGGCAGAGACTGATTTACCTGGCCTCTCCCTCCTTCCCAATTCCCTCCGGCTTCCCTGGGCCCCCAGGGGACTCACAACCCGCCCCCCACTCCCCCCACACAGCCTCTCTCCTGCACGCCTCACCAGGAGATTGCACACACTTGACTTACCACTTGGACCTCGTCCCAGCTGCCTGCTTTGCCGCATCCCCTCAGAGGGAGTGGGGTACCCTTAGCTGAGCTCTTCCACCCCCTTCTTTGTGTGCAGGCTGCCTGTCTTCATTGACCCCTCCAGCTCCTCCACAGGGCCATCGTCCTGGAGAGCTGGAATGAGGCCTCTTGCCTGAGGCAGGCAGGTTTTGAGGGGAAGAAAACGGGTTGTGTTAAGGGCCTACTCTGTGGCAGGCCACCTCCTTTAAATGCTCGTGGGTTGTGTTAAGGGCCTACTCTGTGGCAGGCCACCTCCTTTAAATGCTCGTGGTACCTCCGAATGCTGTGAAGTATGAGTTTTGCAAAGGGGATGCCAGCTTCGGCCCGTGACAGACGGAGCTGGGACCAGAACCCAGGCCTCTCATCAAGGTTTCTGGAGAACCCTTTTTTTCAGGGAGATAAGTCAAGATGTCTGCCCCATGCCATGCCCCTAAGGCTTCCGGGTCACCTGGGATGGCCTGGCTTCAGTTGGACAGTGAGGGCCTAATGTTCCGGGCGCTGCAGGCTCCTGTGATCAGTGGCAAGCCACAGGCTGCCTGCGATGATCCCAGATGTGCTGCCACTTCTTTTCTTCCTGCTGCAGCACCGATTGGCTTCCCAGAAAACCCTGGTTCAGGTTACTGCTTGAAATGGGTATATGCGGGGACAAGGGGGATGACAAAGGTTGATCTAGGCAAGGTCTAGTCCCTTTGCACCACCCCCTCCCCAAGTTAGTCCAGTTTCTCCCAACCCCCTTAGGTGAAAGGGGGGTGGAGGGGCGGAGATCTGCTTGGAGAGCTTTAAAAAAATAAATTCCTGAAGGATGGCTTTAAGATTCTTTAAAAAAAGAGAACCCTGGGGGCTGTTGTCTGGCTTCATGGTTGGCAGCCTGAAGCCTGGCTGGGGTCTGTCTGGGAGACAGGAAAGAACAACGTTTTGGGTGTAGGGTTCGGGTCTTGCTGTGGAAGCTGGTCCTCACTTCTGGCATCCCCAGTTGTCCTGTTAATGAGTCTCAGAGCCTTGTCACCCTCCCCAGCACCTCCTGGGCTGGGCCTCAGCCTAGTCATGGAAGGAAAAGTTCCACTTCCCCACCCAGGGTAGGATGGGAGACCGAAATGAGACTGCAGGGTGGGCCAGGTTGGCGTCAGTGCCAGACCAGCAGAAGCAGCTCCTGCCTGGGAGGAACAGAGGTCCCCATGGTAGAGGCCTATAAGGCTGGGGCTGCAGGCATCCCCCGGGGAGGCCCCTGGAGGGCAGAGAACTTTCTCAGGACTGAGAGTGAAGCTGGCTGGGGGTTGGGGGGTGGTTGGGGAACTGCCTTTGTTTCTTCTCCTGCAGTCCTGAGTTACAGTCCTGAGATCAGCTCAGAAGGTGAGGGCCCGGGGCATGGCCTGGCCAGGGTCTGCTGTGAGTTCTGGGGACTTCTCCTGCACCTCACTGACCCTGCTCTTGTCAGCTCGAGGCTATGTGTGCTAGGGGAGAGTGACAAGTGTGGAATTCAGGTTCTTTCCAAATTGGGGGTTAGGGGAGGAGTCTTCATAGACATGGGGGAAGGGGATAAGCCAGGGAGGCAGGAATGCTGTGAGGTGGTTAGGAGAGTTAGGTCCTATTTCTGGGCATTCTGGGGTCTCTGGGGGACATTTCACGTTCTCTGGTTCTCCTCTTTTGGATTCCAAGGGACTATTCCATCAGTGAGCTTATGTTCTGCCCGACAAACCCCAGGGCAGGCCAGCCAAGGGGCTCTCTGAGCAAACTCAGCCTAGCTGGCCCTTTCAGTTCATCCAGGAGCCCAAGATACTTGTCCTCTTGATACGGAATCCCATCAGCCAGCACCTTCCCATTGAGGTCAGGCGTCCGGGACCAGGCAAGGTTAATTCTCCCCACTGAAGTGATGAAGATACCAGGATTTGGAGGCGTTAGATGTTGTCAAATACAAGTAACCACAAACAGGACACCTTCCCTAGGTTCCAGCTTTCTGGTTGTGAATACTGATGTGAACAGCTGTATGGAGCTTAATGGCACTTATCCCAAAAGAGGAATTGTCTCCTGCTAAGGAGCACAAGAGGGAGGCAAACCTTCCGGTTCAGCCGTTCCTGGGACAGACACGTGGGAATACATCATCTCAAAAAATTCGTAACTGCTCTTCACTGTACTTTGCATTAAGCTCTAGTGCTCCCAGGAAACTGAGGGGGGAGGTGTCCTCCCCGGGTAGTGGATTGGGGCCTCAGGAGGTTAAAGAGCTTGCCTGAGATGACACAGCCAGATAGTGGCCCGCTGGGAGTCCAGGCCCCCGCTCCTCAGACTGCCACATGTGCTTTCCTTCATACGTGCTGTTCTATAGATGGAGAGCTGGCTTGTTCCTTATTCTGGCCTAATTCTTGTTCCTTATTCTGAGGTTCTGGGCCTGTGCCCTCCCTGCTTAACTCTGTTACCCCCAGGCCGGTACCATGGCCGCTCCAGCAGCGGCCCCTGGGTCTGTGGGCGTATCTCCCCTCCTCAGGGCCCGGGGCGTTTACTGGAGGTGGGAGGGCAGTGGAGCAGCGCTCTGCCCCAGGCGTCTCTCTGCACTCGGCAGCTGGTCATCTGAGGAGTACGCCATGACAGGAGCAAAACAGATACAAATGGAAAGTGGACTGAGTGGAGCCTGTTGCCTCGCTCCTGGCCTGGCCTGCAGAGCCATTCCCCATCAGGCAGGCTCCAGGCAGGCCAGGGTGCTCAGCCCTGCTTCCCCTCACTGGGGCTGGGCCCATGACAGCCGCTGCAGAGCTTCCGTTTCCGTGGCCTGGCAGCCGGCACGATGGACTGGCTGATCCAGTCCCCAGTCCCCACCTGCCCAGGACCCGTTGTCCCAGGCTCTGCTGCAGCCTGGTGGCTTCCCAGACTCAGGGGGACCGGTGGGGGTTTGGGCAGTATTGAGAGTGCTAAAATAGGCCTTGCTTTTTTCCTGAGGGCAGACAGGAGGCCTGAGGAATGGGACCCCGGGATACTCCTGTCTCTCACCCCCAACCTCTTGATGACCCGGGAGTGAGACTGGCTTTGCCTCAGTTATCAGCTCTGTTGAGAAGGATAGTCGATCTCCTGTGGCTAAATACATACCTGGGTTAGTTTTCCCATAACATTTCCCTTCTGAGTAAAGGATGTGACCCAAGGGTCCCTGTTGCCCCAGAGAGGCAGCTGAAGCTGGGTTTTCACCTGGATTCAGCCCCGACGCATGTCAGGGGCTGTCAGCCCTGCTTTCAAATCTCATCTGTCCCATGTGAGGCAGGATCATTCACCTTAGTCTACAGTGAAGGAAACTGAGGCCCACAGGGACTTGTCCAAGGGCACACAGCTGGCCATAGAACTAGGCTCCAAACCCAGATCTGGTGAACCCATGTCTGTGTTTGTACCACATCTGCAGAAGGCCTCTGACTTCTGCGGGCCCCAGAGGGGGCCTTCTCTCCTCTCACCTGTCCCCTCACTTCTCCCTCCAGACTAAAGCTCCCATCCCCTCACTCCTTAGAATTGCTTGCCTCTGATCTTGCTCTCTATTTTTTTCTCAATGTGGGACTTCAATAAAAAGAAAGGGGACTTAGTTCTGAGAGACTAGGTTTCCCCTGGCCCAGGCAGGGGAATGAAACAGGGCTTCTTGGAAAAAAATGCAGAGCTCTGTTCCTGCTCTTCCCTTCAGAAGACCCCCTGCCTCTCTGGCCCGGACATTGCCTGGGACTAGCCGGTCAGTGGGCAGGACCCTCTGGTTCCAAGCCCGCTGGGCTCGGGAGAGCCAGGAAGCCAAGCCTGGGAGGCTGGCTGCCCTGTCTTCCCCAGCCCTCTAGGAAGGGAGTGCCAGCATGTGCCTTCTGGGGAGCAGGAGGGGTGTCAGGCCAAGTCTGCAGGCCTGTAGCTGCCCTGCCCTGAGGCAGCCTCCCAGTCTCCTCCTGGGTTTGTTTTGTGTTTTTCTTTTCTGTTCTCAACAGACCAACATTTGCCTCTGAACATCTTGTCTTCGGATAATGAGGTGTTTCTCTTTGTCACCATTTGGGGTGGGGTGTTAAGTGGGGGAGGGGCTAAAATAAACTTGGGCTATTTTGGGGCAATGGGGGAAGAACAGGCAGGAACAGAGCCAGGCAGTTGGGGCTGGGGAATGGGGAGTCCCCAGGCCCCTGGGGTCCACCCGTGGACAGTGCTGTCTTGACATGCTGGGCACCAGCCAGCCCACCACAACCTTTGGCCCAGCTCCCCGCTAGGTTGCTTTTTTTTTTTTTTTTTCTCAGGCTGGGTGATAGTGACCCAGCCCCTGGCACAGGGCTCCATCAGGCAGTGGTCTTGGCCGACCCTGGAAAGCCACAGAGTCTGAGATCCCACGTGCTTAAAGGTAGTGCTGGGCATACCTGTCACCTCTAGCCCCAGTTAGTGGGGCTGACCATGTCTCCTCATGACAGGCTCCAGGAGAGGAAGCAGGCAGTCACCTTGGCTCCAGGCATTCAGGAAACATTTATTGAGTACTTACTACATGCCAGACACCAGGCTGGGCCCTATAAATATAAAGATGAGTCAGATGTGGTCCCTGTTCCTGAAGAGAGCTAGGTCAGGGGGAGTAGATGGCAGCTGAGGAAAATTAGGTGATGAGGAATAGTAATAATAATGCAAGAAAGATCATGAGAGGT